ACTTCTGCGGCATTCCTTTGCGAAGGAGTGAACCCATAAGGGATTCACGATCAACTGAATCGAAGGCTCCTTTCGGGTCAAGGAACACGACAACCGTTGGCCGACGGTGGGTATGGCGTAGCTCGAGGACTTGACGCAGGGTGTAACGTGGTGGTCGTGATGGTGTTCACAATAAGTTCTACCGAAATGCGTTAGAGCCTTGATTTGGGGATCAACAATGTTAAAACCATACAACTAAATACGGATTAACAGAATAACTCATGAAAAAATAAAAATAAAAGAAATTTACGATTGAAACAAAAAAGTTGACTTACTTGAGCCATTTCCTGAGCTCGCACCAAATCTGGGCTTGGGCCTGGTGGCGGGGCAGTAGCGATAGCAGCAGCCATCGAAGCGAGTTTTGCTTTGCCCTCCGCCAACTGATCACGCAATTCTCGAACTTCCCGATCCGCCTCCGATCGGATGCGACTGGAATCTGCCGTCGCTTTATCCAATCGGGCACGAAGTGAAGCCCGTTCGGCTTCTAAGCTCTAAAGTTAGAATAACAGAGTACAAACATAATATATAACAACGGTATGAAGCATGTTTAAAGAAGGTAAGCGACGCCATTTCTGTTTCAATGTAGAAGCGCCTATTCATTCTTCCTGCTAATTGGAGCATCACGCCAATAGTCCACGGCAGTATTCAATGAGATTATCCGCCAGTACACGACGACTGAAACGCCTGTGCAAGTTTGCCATGTTTGTGTATTCCTCAACAAATAACTGAAGTTGGATGAGAAGACACGTTAGGCAGACACTGTGACAAACATTGTGAACATAAATGTTCACATTTAAAGGATGGGTATATCCAAGTGTTTTTTATTCTAGACATAAAAACAGTATAACCGTTATAATAAGGAGGTGTTAATACACCGGACCATAAATTCACAGAATACTCAATGTAACATCCTAAGAAGGACAAATCAGTATTACAACGCTTTCAAAACTTCCAGTGGTCGGTGTCCCATCTCCGTATTGCAATATGCATTGCGTTGAATGTCATACTACTCAATGGAATGGCATTAAGTTGACATTAAGTTGCAACATGCTCGGTAGACTGCACCTTGACGTGGTGTGATGGCTTGTGCACCTCTCTGACACAACGAGCTACACAGGAAGGATTTTGTCGAGCCAAAGATCTAATAATGCCTGGAAGGTCAATGGGTAGAGGTCAGACGAAGTCCAGTCTCTTGGTCCTCCGGGTTGAGGGTTGGATGTCGCTCGCCAAAGGTCGTTGGCAAATAGCACTATAAGTAATGTATCACGAAACGAATTGCAGATTCTAAAGCCTCGTCAATCGCTGAATCTGGGGGCCTTCAACGTGAGGACCCTGATGCAGGTAGGCCAACAAGTTTATCTGGCATGTACAATGGAATCCATAGGGATCGATATTGGCTGCGTGTCGGAGACTCGAATTAAGGATCTTACTACTATAAGCCGCTTGAATGCACCAGATTTGCCTTTGAGGTACGTTCTTCGCAAATCGGGCGACGATGAAGCCCGCTCAGTAAGCCAGCGTGGGGTAGGTATTGTACTCAACAACGGGGCGGAGTCTTCTCTTATCGACTGGATCCCTGTCAACAGTCGATTATGTGCAATCAGCGGCCGAAAGGGAAGCAACATCGAAAGGTGTTCGTTCATCGTATCAGCATATGCACCGACCAACTGCAGCTCTGATACCGAAAAGGATGCTTTCTACGATGAACTTACCGATCTCATTCGGATGAACTGAAGCTCCGACAAAGCTGTGCTTGCAGGTGACTTCAACGCGAAGGTTGGAAAACTGAGCGCCTCAGAAGCTTGCCTAGGCGGCAGTTGTGCTCTGCTCAGCCAACGAACAGATAACGGCGATCGCCTTCTTCAGTTCTGCGCAGACCA